GTAGTATCATCGATATTTATGGGCATAAAATATTTATTAGGCGATTTATTGTTCATGATATATGTTTTTTAATTCACAAAATAATATAATCATACCATATATATATATATAGTTTATACCGTACCCATATTATTGTACATTTTGATTCAGAAATAACAGCTTCTGATTTCCAAGAACAATTACTAGCCATAATAGTCATTATGATAAAGTGAGAAAATGAAGGATAACCGTTTTTTCTTCTAATGCAAAATTAACTAATTTTTACTCCAAGCGTCCTTAGAAATAATACTAGGTACAAATTTGCGAAACTATAGAAAATCACAAGGTTCAATTTTGCCATAATTGATCAAAATTATCTTTAGTATTGTAAATCGATATACATTTTTTTCTTTTTGAAAAAATAGCTAGATCACCACTGTTTACATAAGCTAAGTACCATATTATTTTTTTCAATCTTAAATAAATATTAAAAAATATATATTTTTTTTTTATTTTACTGTAATAGTGTAGAATGGTGTCTTACACTGTTACATTCAAAAATAGATTCGTTATTGATTTAAGTTTATCATTAAAAAATAAAAAGTACGTGAAAGCCAACGCAGTATTAAATTGATTTCATGTCATTACGTTAACAAGTCCGCAATTACGATATTAAATTTTTTTTACAAAATGTCGTTACCTATAATAGCATACATTAACTAAAAACTAACAAAAGGAATTCTATGTTACATAACCAAAACAATACTTAATATTTAATGTATAGGTAGGTACTATTATAAATGATTTAAAATAAACCAATTTGACGATAAATTATTTTTAAATATTATTCATGGTTATAGCGTTGAAAATCAAGTGAACGATTTAATGGTGTATATTATTATTTTATATAATCTAGAAACGAAATTTTACTCGAAATAAAGTGTAATTTAACTTATATAAATATTATTTAACTCAAAACCCCCATAATATAATAGTTATGTTCACCATGAATCAAAATAACTGTGGCACACGTTTTGATTATTATGTTTATTATGCGTTATTGCACTTGTTCGACAATATGCGCTTTTCTCATAATATTAGGTAGGCAATAGGCATATCTAGTAGCGGCGGCACACCATCCTACACGAATATCGTAGCTATATCGCGTCTAACACGCCGAAGTGTTTGCGTATACGTAGAGGTTTACCAATAATGTGTATGATGTATTTCGTTGAGATATATACATCGTATATATGTACATCGTATACTCATGTGTATACGAATAAGCGATTATAACCTCCTGCAGTCCCGAGTACGTCGAAAAGTTGTATTATTATTATTGTTGTTACATACGGTCACGGAGTTGTGGACACGCGCTAAGTCAATAGATTATACGTCATAATACAGTCCGCTTAAAGTATAATAATGACAATACTGTCAATACTATTATATTATTATAAAGTCAGATTGCATTTATTTATTTATTAAATATCTAATATTATGCGCATTGGGAATAGTTTTCGGCCGCATCGCGTCATTACAGTTACGTCCTATAATATCACACTTGTGCAAATATCATAATTCATAATAATAATATAATATAAATAACACTAACGATGTTTTCGTCTAAAATGTAAACAAATAGGTACGTTATTACAATATATTGTAATATTTTATACCTAGGTGTTTGTATATATGGGAATAGAATCGTCATCGGCGACCGACGTATGAACAGACGGCCTTTCGCCGCGACGTTTACCTCGACAACGATTTATTATAAGGTAGGAACGCGACTTGCACTGCGCGTGCACGCGTTACATTGTTTTTTTTTACGCGCATACATATATATGTACCACGCCGTCGTCGGTTCATCCGAGTTTACTCCGCGAAAGCAATGATTTATTTCACTTTGTCGTCGTTCTCTTAATTTTTTTCCCCTCTTTGCACAGAAAAACGCAAATATTATTCCGATTTCATGATTGATAAAGCGGTTAAATAAAAAAAAAATGAGGTTAAATTTCTATTCTTCTGTCTATGTGAATGTATAATGTCAACGCGGTTTTACAACACGCGAGTGGTCATGATAATATTATTATTACTGTATCGTAGTATTATATAGTTACAGTGTATGCCTATATACCTATATATAAGCTGCACGTAAAAAAAAAAAACGAAAAAAAAGTCTTTGAAAGTCAACTGTTGAGCCGCGTAACGTATCATATTATAATATATATATATATACACATGAGGGTATATTATACGTTATATACATAAGTACTTATGTGCGGTACATCGAATGGTATTATATTATTATTACGTACTCATAATATTAAATACATAATAAGTATACATTATATGCTCGTAATGCGCTGGCCCAGCCGCCGTGATAATATTAGGCCGCCAAAGTAGTGTCGTTAAATCGATGCCGATTAAAATGATTTTAGACGCCGTTGGTATGGTCCAGTAGTAAAATTGTCTGTGGCGTCAATAATAATAATTATAATACAATATATATCTGCACTCTCACACCTCGGCACCTGTCTAACGCTTCGCGGGTTTTCACATACAAATAACACCGCCCACTCATATAGCACACAATCAAAACGATAAGACGTACATAATAATAATAATAATAATAATAATAACAACAACAATAGTAATAACTATTAACCTCAGTATATATTGGAATATATATATATCGGTGTGGAGTTAGTCGTATATGAAATATGAATATTATTATGATATACAACGTGCACGCATTGAGGCGGTTCTACCGGACGCATCTCGTGGACAAATCAAACTGAAACTGTACTCGGATCGTTGTTATATGATTACTGTATATATTATATTCTCTCGCGCGAGCGCGTGTCTCCGCGACCGCGATCGGCATTCTTAACGCCGACCGTCTCGCCTCCTCATCTTATTTAGCAGTATTACATTATAATAATATTATTGTTATTATTTATATAGATCGCACCGTCTCGTCTCGCACGCCGGACACACGCTCACCACGCCGGTCTTCGGACATTTGCTTTCGTTATTTGTGTAGGTACCTATTATAATATATACATCGCGCGGTAGATAAAACTCGATTTATATGAGGCACGTGAACAACATGCCAACGCGAAATGATAGTGCGCATGAAAATTTAATTTCGGACTTTAATATTATATTATTGTACTGAAGTAAAAAATATTATGGTATACGTCCATTCCCCCTGCCCATTGCTCGATGAACTTGTAACAATGAAAACGTTGAAATTCGCTATAGGCATTTAAATCGTCCAGGTGATCGCCTTTTGACGATCGACGACAGTATGAGTACGCGTCGGGATATGATTATGCGAGTGTAGATAGCGACGGTTCGTGATATAATTAATTAATAGAATTATGCGTCTCGCTTTTATACTCTTCAACAATTATGGACTTTTTATAACAAAATTAATAATAATATAAATGAAAAGCTACTCCCAATTATCCTTATATTATACTTGCAGCAGTTCGATAGCGAATTTTCTCTACGAAGATACCTTTATACATATACCTACGTATATAAACGTATATATATCCGAAGAGACGCTTGAATAGGCTTTTCGTATTGAGATAATTTTATTGAGAGATACCCACGAACTGATTGTCACTGGAGTTTGCATTCGTGCAGTGACACACGTGAGCATAACGGGTCCGATCCGCGCAGCTTCACGGGAATTTTTCCTTCTCTTATTTTATTCTTTTATTTTATTTTTTACCTCATTTCTTCATTTTTTCCCCTTGTTTTTTTTCTGTTCTCATTCCTTCATGTTGGTTTCGTGTTATCAAACACACACAACGAGAGATGACCCGGTACATTGGAGGAATATCAAGCCACGATTCTGACCGGACCCGCGTGATCGAGATTTATACGCACACGCGCACGCCGCAGAGATGACACCCCACAGTGGTTGACCGCTAGCGTCATCACGAGCTTCAATTTTCACACTTTTTCGTTTCTTTCGCAGTGTACTTATCCGCACGACTCGGGACATTTACATAAACGCGGTCGTTACAATAATATAATATATAACCTATCCCGATAAAAAAGCTATATTATAATATGTTATAAATGTGCAGTATACCCACCTAACTATAATGCGTATAAACATTAAACGTCTCATATGAGCGTGTGTGTCGGCAAACTAAATAATAATAAAAAATTACCAATACCACAAAAATTTAATAAATACAATAGTGGAAATAATTTTACGATGTTTTCACGTTGTTGCAAAAGTAATCTTAATATAAAATTTAAGAGGTAATGTATAAAGATAGTACGTGTGTGTGTGTGTATACCACTGAAGTACGAGTTTAAAAACAAATAAGAGCGTAGCAGACTGTCGACGAATGTGGTAGGCCACCGGGATAGCGACAACTATTGACCGTTTGTATAATGATTGTAAATTGTAATGACACGATGACAATGCGAAAATCTCTAACTTGAACACCTCGAGGGTTCTGACTAACCTGTACGGTGAAAGACAGCCGTCGCACATCAGCCTATTTGCATCGGCTCTTAGTTCTTTCCATATTTTAATTAAGTAGGTATTTTATTACTTATAATATAATATAAATAAGTACCTACGCAAGCCTGTAAACTTAAACTGAATTAGGTAACCAAAAAAAAAATTAGGAAAACACATCTGATGAAAACTAAATAAAATTAATTTTTGTTTTTCTATAATAATATGCGTATAATATTATATAATACCCATACGAATTTATGTTTAATTTTGAAACATAATGCAAAGAGAAAGAAAAAATACCAATAATTATAGAAGTAATACTTAGCTGGTGGAATAAGAAAAATAATTTAGAAATATTGTATAAAAATATATTTACACATGTGAAAACCATCTTTAATTACAATATTTCTGCAATAACTTATCTGTGGCCGTTGTATAAAATAAACTATTATCAGCAATCCTATGCATTTCGATGTACTTTTCTCAGCAGAATTTAATTGATGTGTACCTATGTTTTTTTCAGACGAGGTGAATGACACCGTGGAAGGGGTTATGATTGGGATGGAGCTAGGTTTAGGGCACCATGGGGGCTCCTTGCACCCTCACAATATGCCACAACATCAAATGCACTCGCAAGGTCTTATGCATCAAACACAACAGCAGATGCACCACGACGATGGTAAGTAAAAATATATAAAATATTATCATCCATAATAAGTAGTAAAATCACTATCGATATAACAATTGTATTGTTATTATCAATAATCTTAGACTGTTTTTATTTCGGATAAACAATTTATTATATAATACATAATATGTTGTAGCTTTAATTATTATAATCACGGAAGTACTGTGGGGGTTATAAAGTGACATATCTTCAAATATTCGGGTAATTGCATAATATATTATACATAGGAAAAAATATTTTATACTTGACTTAAAAAGTAGCCAATTGATCCTATGTTTAAAACCAAATTCAGGGTAAAGTTTCGGTATATACAATCCGTGAACAGATTGGTTATGAAACGTTAACTTCTTGTGGATTTTTTTTTTCAGTGGGATCGGGAAATATTAGCAGCAGTAGCAGTGTCAACGGATTTTCACAAGAAGGTAAGTGCACAAATAAAACATAATATCGTATAGATAAATCGGTCGAGTATACTAGCTTTTAATTTAATACCGTCCTGGGTTTGCTGCGTAACTCGTGATAATATTATATTATAACACTGCACAGTCCAGGCACTTATACTCAGGCGGAGAGTTCAAACAAGTGACAAAATTGAATTTAAAAACTAATTAAAATGTATACATAATATATGTATAGATTTGTACGCTGTATCTACTTTAATATTACTGTTATAGTGTTATAAGATTTAGTCTTTTAGCAACCTTCCCCGAAATATATTTATTTTGTTGTATACCTAAACTTAAAATATGTACGATATTACCTTAAAGTTTAAAAATTCCCATGAGTCGGAATAATATAGCCACGGCGCTTTATATTTCTTGACTTTTAAAGTTAAATATAATACTATACTATGTATATAATAGTATTGTACCTGTGCAGTGTTCCCATATCGAATAATAATAATACAATCCAATCGTAATCTTCGGGCCGGGCGGTGATCGATCCGGTCGATCACGACTAATGTAATATAGCCGGGTGAAGGAGGCACGCGCGAAACATATATTATAATAATATAATATATATATAATATATCGCAGTCTATAGACCTACGTTCACGTATAAAATAATATAAAAGGCGGCCGATAAATTGTCGTTGCCGCCGCCGCAGCTTATGTTCGTATGTGTATACACATATTTATTTTTTAAACAATATATTATATGATTTTACACACGCCGTGTTGGAAATGTTGGAATATTGTAGCATAATATAATGGAAATACCGTGTACGCCCAGGAGTGTGTGTGTGTGTGTGCGTATGTGATGGACTAGACACGACTTGATTAATTCGCGTGTAACATATGGGATGGAGTTGGACAACAGGTGTCGTCTTTACTTATGAAAATTGTCGGAGACCGTTACGGACATACAAAGGCGTGATGGTAATACTAAATAGATATCTATTAATTTTCAATAATAGTATTACAGTTTATATTAGTATTAAACAGTTAATAATTACACAATCTAGTAAAATGGTAATAATAGTATGGAAAGGAGGTTTCGGGAGAAATAATATAGAACCAATCTATTATCTAATGTTTCATAATATTATTGAAGCAATAATAAAATTATCGTTTTCACTTTCTTTGGTAAAAATGTAATTAAAAAAACGCTGTTTTCTTCCATTTCGTTAAACACAGTGCTGTAATGTGGTATTATATATTAAAAGATAGGTATGTAAAGTCCGAACAAGGTGATGGTGGCCGTAATTTCCAGAATTTGAATTTCGAATTATATAGAGTCGTACACATTTGAACTCGACTCGTAAAGTGAAATGCGACCGACCGTAGTACAAGCACTAAAGCGTCACTATAGTCTACCGTTGTCGTTACCATCGCATAAGCGACGTCGTGTAACCAGACTGTAATGTTATAATAATACACAGTACCCACGCCCAATGGATTAATCGTTATATATTCCGATAATATGCTCATATGAATAATGGATAGATCTATAAAATACAATAAAATAAAACAAGACACTTTTCGGTAGAAAGTGATATTTACTATCTTAACAATACCATTACATTTAGCTTTTTTATGATTTAAAGTCGATCATTTCAACTAGGTACAGTAGATACAAGCATAAGTTTTTATAATGAGTGTACCTACCAACTCGCAATTAACATCTGATTTATTTGTTAGAGAGTCGTACCTAAATGTTTTCTGTGGAATATATACTGTTTTAATACGGTTCATAGCTGGGTCGATTTTGTATTATTAATAATAATAATAATAATAATAATAATGATAATATTTTGTGTAGCTATACCTACTCTTCCTCCCCAGTTACGGTGCGGATATAATAATATACGCTAGCGGTATATTATATTAATATAATGTACCATGTATCTGTGATGTATAGAGTACACGCGCCGAAGAATTTGCTCACAATGCCCTAGGTCAAGACTGCCGGTGGCTTATTGGTTATGATACACGAGACAGATACATTAATTGAACATATACAAACATACACACATTATAATATTATACATACGTGTATAGCGTTATTATTATGTGCGTACTCGTATATAGTGCAGCGCTGCTGATGCTGTTGCTGAACAGTAGTAGTTCCAGTTACGAAATTAGCATAGGAAGGCTAAAGTTTAGCGAAGGGTGCGGGTGTGTGCGGAGGACCTCAGGTGAATTATTCATGAGATCGTGCTCGGCGATTCGCCGGCGCTCATTGAGGGCCGTCTGGATTGATTAAACAACGAAAAGCTAGAGAGAGATAGAACGATATGGTGTGTGAGAGAGAGAGAGAGAGATGTAAAGATATAGTTGGAAAAAAAAATTCTACGTTTAAATATTCATCATCACGACCGGACACACACTAGAGTATTAGCATGGACCAGTTATTAAATCCGGATCGCCGCTTAGTATTGTTTTACCGTGTCACCGACGACGAGGCTTTTCTCAACTGCTTAGCAAGCACTTATAATATACATTCTAAACTCTATTTGCCTACACATCCACCGTTTTTTCACTTCTCGTCCCCAGTGCGACGTCACACTCGTCATGTGCTATCGAGTTATTATTGTCTTATTACATTTTTTTTTAATTTCAAACTCAATTTAATCAACAATTATTACTAAGGCTGATGACAGTGCAGAGAACGTAGTGTCGTAGTACATAGGTATAGTAACCGCCGGTGGCTTTTGGTTTGTGGTGCATGTTCAGAATGTCCCCAAACATTGTAAATTGTTTCGGAATGATCAAAAAAATATCCCAAAGATACGTTTTGTATACCTATAACGCGAGTAAGAACGTATGGGTCAGCGTCAGGTGACAGATTTTTTTCGTCCATATAGAATAATATCGTAGCTCCAAAAACATCATACTCGGTATTAAACACAAACGTTTGAGTAACGAGTAACTAATAAATTGTATACACGGTGGTTGAAAGTTGAAACAAGTTGGTGCAAAGTATTATTTGCCAGCTATTCAAATGACTGTACCTAACCTATACTTTGGTCATCTTAAAATTTTATCCATGATAATAATGACTATATCAAACGTGGAGAGCAGGCCTACATACCTATATTTTATAGTGGTATTATTTTGTTTTTATCATTACTGGTGCCTTTGGGTGTGGGAAATACGACGACGACCGTTCACAAAAAAATGGTCATCTCAAAACTAGAAAGCAAAAAAAAAAAAACAAAAATAACCGTCGAAAGTCGTAATTATTTTTAACGGACGTTTTTTTTTCGTCCAATACCATCTATTCGTACGAAGAAGCGTGCTTCCTCAAGAACAATGGGCGAAGATAATGAAAATAGTATGTTTTTTTTCCGTTGTACAGTAGTCACATTATATTATTACTGTATACACTATACGTGTACGTATTATATAGGTATACGTGTGTGTGTGTGTGTATTACATATTATTACACAATGTGTACAGTGGTGGGTGTATTTCGCGTCCGTTGACGGCGGCAGCGGCGGCGGTTGAGAGAGCCGCGCATCTGCCCCCCGCAACGGTTTCACCACATGTCGTACACCGCTACTACACCCCCGCCGCACCTACACCACAGGTCCCACCCGCGCTCGCACTTGTTACACGGCCTTGTCATTAACGTGTAGTTGATTGCGTTTTAAATCGTCTGATTGTGTCAAACACCCCCGAAATCTTCCATTTAACGGCTCGCCGCCGAGAAACGTATTTTTTTATTATTATTATTTTTAACCGTTTTCTCGGAGACGTTTCTAACGTACACCTACATGTTATATGTATATTTTTTTTTACTCACCTCCACCCGGGTCGCCCTACTCATGCAACAGTGTAACGTATCGGCATATCTTTACAAACCTAAGGAAAAGTACGTCTCATTTGGTTTCTCCCCTCTAAGATATGAAGCTTGACCATTCGGATACATAATACCCTTTGACAGTTATTATTATTTTTATTGTAATTAAGATCTTATAGAATAATCGAGTGATTTTTGCACTGTGTTTTACACGTTTTAGGAACACGGATCTGATGCGGCCGGTATATTATACTTCTCGTTTTTTGTATGTTATTTTATATTATATTATTATAATCGTATAGGTATATAGATGTCTTGGGTTGACGTGATACGCAAGTTTTTCGCTTTCGGGACGATAAAACGATAACTTTTTTACGATGTGTACGGACTGATTTCCGCGTCGATTTCGTGTGTCCGTTGCTGATCAGTAAATATTATATTATATTATAATATACCTCCTCGCATATTATTACTATAAATATGTATCGTTTCAAAACATCGACCCAATCAAGTTTGCACGAAAAATTTCAAACCATCACGATTCAAACGTAACCCGAGGAGGTATAATAGTTGTAGCGTTTTTATAATATATAGGCACAACGTACAGGAGAAGGTCGCGGGTTTTTTTTATTAATTTTAGTTTTATGAGCGAATCGCATAATAATACAACTGTGATGAATATGAGACTTAAAAGAATGTTTTTAAATTATTTTCAGCAGAAAACATTGTCAGAAAAATTTTACCAATAATTTGAATTATTTACGGACTTGTTAATTTTATTTTTTCAAATACTAAAAGTATAATTAGACCCTTTTTCTTATACCTTGTTGCTCTGCGGCAGTGTATACGCGATGACGATTACAATGTGACACAATAAACAACCTTGGTTTGGTCCAATTAAAAAAAAAAAAAATTTTACATCATGCGCTCGCGATACCTCTAATTATTATTGTACAAGCAAATAATTACTAAACCCATCACATACTTGTTGTGTCTTGTAATGAATAAGATCTTTATTCATCCGTGAAAATGATAATTTTACGCAATTATATTACAATATACAATATTCTAATGGCAATTTTTTTTTCACCTTCACACAATCGTTTTAAATGTGGCATAGATACCTAGAGTTGAAGTATATAATTATCGAGAAATCACCTGTGTTGTTTTTGTGCGT